GTCCATCGGGAATCACATTTGGATGGCATTCCGCCTCTGGCACTAGGACTGATGGAGACCTATGGGGTACCACTAAGACCTTACCACCGGAGACCGATGCCGAGGGGGTGTGACCGACCTGTGTTTCCCCCGTGACAGGGAAGAGACACAGAGACAGGGGGAGAGGAGATCAAATGGAGAAAGTAGCTACGAGTAGTTCATTTTTAATTCTTAGTTATTTGGCTGGTCTAATTCCTTTATTTCCTTTCTTCCATTGATGTTTGGAGTCTGTTTGAAGGAAACTTTGAAAACTTTGAAACAGTTTGATGGCACACCATGATCAAAGCCAGCGATCTGGCAACACAGCCAGGCCCAGATGCCATCAACCTGTTTGCTGCACACATGTTTGCATGCAAATACAGCTGGTGGTTGAAGCCTTTTGAAGGAGGTTGTTTTTTTTTTCAAGAATCTGACTAGATGCCATCAATTTGTTCCGGGATCTAGCCTCAAGTGGTTGATGGCATTTCCCAAGTAGAGATCACAAATTGATGGCAAATCAAAGGTGTTTTGCGAGTGCCATCAAAGTGTGATTCCCTATAATCGTGTTTTATTCATGCTTTTTGGTATGACATATATCCCTAAGTCCCTAGGTCTCCAAATACCTTCTCAGAAGGTACTTGGACCCTCCAAACCTACATAACAGTGTCTCCAATTACCTTCTGAGGAGGAACTTTGATCCCTAGGGTGTATATATATATATAGAAGAAGAAACACATGTTGGAAGGGCATTTGGGAGATGTCCCACATACCTGCATGGGCATGGAAACGATGTGCATGATTTCCAGATCTTGTTTGCAGCTTTTCATATTTGTTCCGTATGTTGTGAATCTTCGCTTTTCAAAGCCACATCTTGGCACCCAAAGCACACCTCGCTTCGCCTCGTTTGCCTCGAACACCGGTCCCCCCCGCACCCCACGCGTCTCCCCCGTCCGGGCCCTCCGCGGCTCGGGTCTCTCGGTGCTCGGAACGCAGCCTCCAATTGATCGAAGCGATCATCGATCTCTTTCAAGACAGCATGGTGGCCCTCGCCTGGTAGCGCGCACAGCTTGTGAGTGGCCACGCACCGCACGACAGTGGATGATTTGGAGGGTCCACCAGGGACTATTGAAGTAAAGGTGGTAAAGTCATGCAGAAACAACACACACAAAGCCACTCATTCATCAGGGCTATATCTCTTGATCTTTAAAAGCAGGTCCAAAAAATGGTTGCCAGTTGGTTGTTCCAGCCACGTTCCACCAAACCTTGAGTGGCTGCTTTTGATCAGTTTTCATCCATGTTTGGGGAGGTCTGTTTAATATCAGATGGACAGGAAACCACATGTAGATGCTGTGATTTAAGAAATTCTCTTTCCGGCGGCTCAACTCTATTTTGGGCACGTCCTCACAGAGCAAGAACGAGACAAACCACAGCTCCCAAACAGAGCAAGGCGAGTAGACGAGTCTTGCTAGCCAACATCTGCTGGATTGTTTAGCACCAGAATTGTTTCTCTCTTTTGGCTACACTCATGGATGTGGATGAGAATCCTATACTCGTAGAACTGAGAATTCAAGAAAACATCTTTGGAGTATAATGAAGCTTTCCGAGCAAGTCAATCTGAGAAACCTACAGGGCAAGCACCGGTAAAACAAAAGAAACAGTGGCATACAGCGAAGATTAGATAAGGATCCACTACTAAACCACCCAACTTGGGGGACCTTGTGACATCGAACCTCTGAAACCACGAAACATCAACTAGGTGGAGGTCATCGCTAGTAGGTTGCAGGCCATCGCTCCCAGGGTGGAGGCCATCGCTTCTAGGTAGGGGGACAGAGCGGCCTTTCAACAATCCATACACTTTGCGTCTTTGGGTGCTTAGGCATTCCCAGCTTCTGGTGTTGGACGGACCATCACACCCCAGCCGGTGGTTTTTGGAGGAGCCAAATCAACTATACAGGTGTGTATTTTAATCGGGAGACCCCTTGCCCCAAGATGTACACTGGTTGATTTGTCTTCTTCAGGGGATCGAACTGGAAGGTCAGCTTACTTCAATACACACCCATGCCTTCTCAGCGACTGAGAAGCATGTACAGTTGATGATTTACGGGTGGTTGTCTCTCCATTCGATCTCTTCCCAGGAGGGCTTTTGGTCAAAAAGGAGATCTCACCACCTGACCACACCTGCCTTCCCCTTCTGACGTCATGGCGATCCACGGGAAAAGATGTCAGGATGGGCCACGTTGCTACTAAAGCGGGTTCTTTAGTCTTGAAACTGCTGGCTTTTGGACGTAGATGATCTTTCCCCTTCCATCTGCCAAGCATCACCGATGGAACAAGCAATCTTGCGCCGTTGCACGGAGTTTGGGTCCAGCGATTTCAGGTGTTTTTGGGAGTCTCAAACTGCACTTTCACTCTGTTAGGAGCTGTGTGGTGGTTGAGTTGGTGACCGGACAGAGGATCGACACTTGTTCATCCCATGTTGGCAGTTTTGGGAGTTTCACATATTTTCACATATTGTTCACTGATTTTCACCTTGGATCTAGGGGATGATCTTTGCTTCACTGCATCTCCTTCACTGTCCTCGAGAGGGAGGCTTCGCTCCCAAGGCTCACCAGCTTCGAGCCCAGCGGGTCGTTTCGGACGCGACGCGTGACGCTCGACGCGTGCAGCAAAAAACAGCAGACCTGGACACGAACCCAACGTATTGACACGTCCATTAAACAACCCATTCACAAAGAGGTCGACCCCAAACACGGTGACCGAGCCAGTCAGCTGCGTGGCGTTTGATGCCTTTTCGTTTGATGCCTGCGTGATCTGATGTTTTGCGTCGAGACGATGACTCGTTTTGAGAAAGAGAAATCTGGTCATCAGACGAACGTCAGGGGTTTCTGGGCGGTCTACCACACACGATCGGTCTAGCGGTCTACAAGTCTGGAGTCGTCAAAAGTCTGTGAACGATGGGAATTGGGTGTGGATCATATGGGTCATTACATGGCAACCTGTCCCCCCCAATCATCAAGCTCAGACTTGATCGCCTCGCGATCGTGACCAGGTTGGCAATCGGGCTCATGCAAATGTGCTCATCCAGTGATTGCCAAAAAACATCTGACTCTGAACTGTACCCAAACCCAACAAACCCTAATAAACCATATAGAACATATGGGCACCCACCAAAGATTGAGGGATTCCGAGAGTGAGTGGGGACTTCGGGTAAAAGTTCTCGTACCTTCAGATTTCTGGGCTGGACAATAAAGAAACACTCAAGAATTGTGCAAACTCGGGTGCAAGTAATTATGTCCTGAGTCCACCGACTCAGCGATGGTCTTCGGGAACAAATGGAACAAACAAGTCCCTCTGAATATCACTTCTATCAATTTATAGACACCACGCAATTCACAATATTCCCTCAGGATCTAGCCGTAAGTCTCGTTGCGGAACATCAAAACCCAATAGCCAAGGGCTCATCTACTCATGTAGCTGTTGCACAGTGCTCTTCATGTGAGTCGGCCCACTGGCAGTCAGGCAAAAACATCCCAACCAGTCAGTAAGAAGTACTGACTACAACAAAAACCTACACACCTTCCATGAACATGACCCCCATGACCCCCGTGACCCCAGCTTTCTTCCAGAACTGCGGCCGCCCGAACGGTCCCAGGTCCGTCCCAGGTCCGTCCCCGAGCGCCTCAAAGGTGCCATGGCATGACTCGTCCTGACTCGTCGAGCGTGGCGCATCGCGGTGTGGGTCGAACAGCGGTCGTCCGGTAGGACGAGCGTAGCACGGACTGGGAATATGGCCAAAAGGTATCTGTGTATATCTGTGTGCTGAAGCTCTGTCTTTCCTTGTAAAGCAACGCATGATCATGAACATTTGGGAGCTCTGGTTTGGGCCTGTTTAAGGGTTTAAGCTTTCAACGGCTCAATGACCATCAAGGGGCCGTCAAATACTGATCTTCACGGGCCCAGCGAAAAGGATGGTTGGGCCCTAACAGGTGTCAACTAGTAACGCGTTGGCGGGTCCTGGTCGCCATTCAAGATCGACTACTGACTACTGAATCTTTCGACATATATACTCTGGCTCGCGGACTATGGGCTGTGTCACAATGATGGGAACTCAGGATGGAGGGGCCGTAACACTTGTCTGAGTCTTGAGGGTGTTGTTCACACTCACCTGAACAATACACTTGCAACGAGTCGGGAGAATCCAAACAGTGCGGTTGGAGATCTAGAACAAGCACAACATACCTGAGGGCCTCCCCAACATGCAAAGCATGGCATAGATAATTAGATAAATGTTAAAGCATGAAAAACAACTATTATAGTACTACGTACACTATAGCCCAAAAACCATATATTGCGCAACCATCACAAGACACATCTTGGCTGGAAACACCGTCAAGCCACTGCTGGGACAGCTGGGACGTCAGCCGTTGAAGTGTGCGAATGCCCCACCCACTCACTGAACTCTTACAGAACCACCAACCGAAAAACAACGTAGTAGCCTTATTGTTCCAAGTAGTAAGGCCAGAAGCGATTCTTGTGGCCTTCTTGCTCGGTAGCGATGCCCTTTGCTCCCAGCGAACCTGGCTTCTCCCTTCTGTTCTCTTTTTCTGGCAAAACCATTTCTGTGCGGTGAAACAAAGGTCCCGGCAGCACGCGGGTGCACGCGGGGTCGCAGGGAGCTCGAGGATCGAAGTCATCGACCGGAGGAGACCCTTTTCAGCGCTTTTCGAAGACCCGGGGTCCATGGTGGTTCTCTGTAGGAGTGTCCAGATATGAACCATTATGGGATTGGCATCCAGTGATTGGTGGAGGCCCCTCCTCTCACGGCATCTTTCGTCCGAACACGAAAGAAATCTTTTTTGGAATTTTCAGTTGAATTCCAATCCAACCGTGCGATTCAGTTACTGTAAAGTCACCACCTCGTTCCTTTCGCGCTGATCCACTCATTCGCCTCTCTGACCGACGTGGTCTGACCGATCGGACCGTCAGGGCCACTGATGGATCTTGTAGAAGGTCTTGTCCTGCGTAGACGGACAGATCCCTAGTGTTATAAAAAAACTTTCATTGGAAAGAACCTGTTTTCAAAATTTTAAAAAAAGTCAAAAAAAAGTCAAAAAAAAGTCAATCCCAAAAGTCAAAGTCAAAAAAACGTCAAATTGAAAAGTCAAAAAAAAGTCAAAAAAAAGTCAAAAAAAGTCAACAAAAATCAACAGTCAACAAAAAGTCAAAAAAACAAGTCAAACAAAAACTTTGCATAGGTAAACAAGTCAAGGAAAAGCTTGTAACAAGGCAAATTGCAGCCTTTTTGCTTATGGCTTATGGCTTTCAGTCTATTAAAGATACTAGAACCTTTTTGGTTGTTCAACTTTCACCTTTTCCAGCCCCAAGCCAGCCCCAACCCCCTACCCCAGAGTCGCAGGATCCCTACCCAGCCCCAGCCACTGTCCCAGGGTCTCTTCAGCCCCAAGCCAGCTGCTGCTCAAATTTTGGGGCAGGTTGCTGCCAGGGCCAGGCGTTGGGCTGGCTGCGGCTGGCTCCTGGCGGAGGGGTCAGGTTGAGGTCGAGCTCAGGCAGGCTACAGGCGGGCTGGGGCATGCGGGGCTGGGCCGGCAAAAAAAAGTCAAAAAAAAGTCAATTGGAAAAGTCAAAAAAAAGTAAAATGTGCGGATCCTAGCCTTGGCGGATTACTGGAGGCAACAAAAAGTCAAAAAAAAGTCAAAAAAAAA